GCCGATAGCGGAGCTGCGACTCTCACGCTTCTTTCGTGCTTAGCAACCTCCCGCGTGCATCCATAACTCAATAGTATACGCTGTGGTGTTTACCATTTGTTAACTGTATGATGCAACTCTTACGCTTGGCGCACTCATTAACAACTCGCTTAACGTATCCATAATAAAACCAGAAATCTGGCTTCAAACCTTAAGTATTTAGAAACTTTATATTTCACATGCAGATTAGAGCTAGAAATGAGATCACCTTAGATGTTTGCGAAGAACTAACTTTAAGTTCAGAAACAGTTGAAAACGGAAATGGAATAGACGATTGTAAGCGAATCAGAGACGACCCAGATTTAAAAGTAGGCGAGAACGAGGTTTTTACTTTGGATGAAAGAGAGCCATTAATGATGGAGAAAGAACATGGATATGAAAAGACACGAGGATTTACAGACAAGGAAGCCATTCCAATCCAACAAAACATCGTCACTGGAAATACCTGCGAACAGGCCACGGACGAGAAAAGAGAAGAGCTGATTGGAAAGAAAAATTTTCTAATTAACGACGCTACCCCACAACCAAGGCATGGTTCTGGTCGTCCGGCCTCTGTTGTTAACTTGATAGAAAGCGCAACCACCTCGAAATGTGAGGACGAAAATGAGGGACTTTCAGAAAAGGACCTTCTTTGCTTTGCGTGGCAGGTTGCAGAAGGAATGGTAAGCATCAAAAGAGATACCAGAGGTTATGAATACTTAGGCCACTTCATAGATGTCCCGGGTTTCACTGTTTTTTAATTAAATTGAGGGAAATTGTAAAGCCTCTGCTGTGAAAAATGGTATTTATATCCTCACGCAAATAAGCTCATCTCACAAAAATGGTATATTACATGGCCTCATGTTGGAAGTGAAGGGCTCTAGAACTTGCAAATAGCCTATTCTATGCTTCTGTAAGCTTATCGATTGGCAGCCCATCCGTTTCGAATTTCTGAACACATCAAGAATAGCATGGGTTTGTTACTCATAGGTTCTCGTCGTTGCGCAGTAATTGAGACACGCGTCACTTTCAAAAGTGCACGCTAGTTTAGAAGGAACAGGTAAACGATGGTATAGTAGATGGCATATCGTTTTTCACGATGGGGTACCTGTTTTCATTCACAGAGGTTTATTTAGTGCATACAAAACATACAGGTCCACGCAGGCAGCAAAGTACTATGAAGTTAACCTGACGCTGACGTCTTGCTTCTAACAGCAACCCATCAGATAAATCCGAAGGCAACGTCACACAGATTGTGTGTGTTCTGTTACCGTCCATCTCAAGCATGTCGAAAAATGAACAAATGAATAAACATTAACTCAGATTTATCTATAAGATAATTATACAAGTGGTTACAGTGATGTCGCGGGAGATTCCAGTTCATTAGAGAGATTTAGCACCGTGTTTACCTCAAACGTGTACGGTAAGAGTCACCACGTGACCTTGTTTTTCCCGCCATTTTTTCTCGTTTGCCGTAAGCGCTCTGCTGTTTCAACGTAAAAGTAACCAGTCTCGCGTTTACCGGGTGTGTAAGATTTTCTTTACTTTTTCTTTCACAGAATAGAAGTTAACTGCCGAAAAAAAGGGCACCAAAGCTATTCCTTGTGACCCACACAAGGGCGCCTTCAAATCTACCATGACATGAGCTCACGCGAGGGTAAAGCAGCAAGGTTCACGCTATTTTGCGTGAAACGTGAAAGGGCAAGCTGACGTTTGCCGTTTCACGTAAACGCAATGCTAAATCTCTCTATTACTCAATCCAGGTGACGGATTCTAAATATTACCTCATGCAAGCGAAGTACAGCTTGCGTAAAACACTTTAAGGCTGGTTTCTGAGGTAGAATGTTTTTTTTTTGTCATAGAATTACTTGGCCAGTCGAGGATTCGTTCATCGTGATCTGGCTGCCCGCAACATTCTTCTTGGGGAGGGTAGAGTAGTAAAGATTGCTGACTTTGGCCTGCTACGTCAAACTGCAAATTATATATACGAAATTAAAAACACGAAGAAAGTACCTGTGAAATGGATGGCACCTGAGGTCATCTCGACCAATACGTTCACCTCCAAAAGCGATGTGTAAGTTCACAACAGATCTTTTCTACGGTGTGCATACCTCAACTATAAAATAGCGAACTATTACCTCTCCACTTTAATTCGGCGCATCCTTCGATGTTTCGTCCACTAATTTATTTTACATTTTTTTCAGATGGTCTTATGGAGTTTTTGTGTGGGAATTAGCAACATTAGGTAAGCGAGCAACTGAATGTTTTTGTAGTTGGTTATTGTATTTGTTGTTTTTTGCGGTTGAAAGAGTTCGACTCCGTCCGAGGAAGGGCCAGAGTCT